CCCATCCTGGAACCTGTGTGTCACCTGTCCCCACGTCTGCCCTGGTCTCCTCCCTGAGCCCGACCCCCAGTTCATCCCCTACACCTTGCCTGCTCCCAGTCTAAGGTTTGTTGACACTGCCCAGCACAGGAACCCTGAGTTTATCTGGCTTTTATATATTTTTTAATAAGATGCACTTTACTTTTTTTTTTAAATAAAATCTAAAGAGAAACAATCATGGTCCTTCCTCTCAAAGGACTGTTACTTTTTGAAATTGGTCTAATACTCTGAGTTCTGGGGCATTCTGAGCCTCCTCTTTCCAGGGGCTATCGGGCCAGAGCCACCCTGGCTGAGCCAACTCCCATCTCCCAGTGGAGTGTGGTCCTTAAGGTTGGAAGTTTCATGCACTGATGGGAGGGCAAGGGATTCCCTCATTTTCCCTGAACCCCTTTACCCTGCATCTCCCCCAGTTCAGGGTGGGAACACAGGTAGATCAGGGATTTTGTCCTATTTTTTTTTTCATTTTAAAAATGTGTATTTTTTATATATGATCATACAGTGAAATAGCGTCTTTTTCTTTTAGCACACAGTCATATAAATTTTAAAGTGTATAGAAATTAATGGAAGCACCACCACCATCAGGATATATGAGAGTTCCACCTGTCGTGCTACCCTTCATACTGACACCCTCATGAGGGGTGGGCTGGGCGGGCTACAGGCTGCCTTCCTCCTGGCCCTTTCGGTCCTACTCTTCCCAGGATGACCGAAGGCTCCTAGAAGTCCAGTCCTTCCTCATACCAGCATTTCTAGTATCACACAAAGGGTCCGAACATCTAAACCTTTATTACAGATTAGTAGAACACAAACAGCGATGACAATGACAGAAGGAGAGAGGCACCAGCATGGAGGGCCTTCCCCTGCCTGGAGCAGGACCACACAGTGCCAGCTCTGGGCTAGGCCAGCTTGGCCGGCCCTGGCAACACAGGCATAACCTCGGCCACAGCTCAGCAGCGGGAAGGCTCTCTGACAGGGTGCTTGCTGGGACACACGCCACGGCTCCTGTCACAGGACAATCTTAAAGGAGCTGAACAAGAGAAGGGTGAGTCAGGTTTTCTGCTAGAAGAGAAGCGAGCGGGGCGGGGACTAACTCCCAGCCTGCCCACATCTTCCCTAAGACCCTTTGGAATGGGCTGTGCCGTATCTGTCCCTCCCGCACTACCATCATCATACCTGGCGAAGTCCGGCGAACGGGAGATGATGTGTTGGAACTCTGAGAGGTTGATGGTGCCATCCCGGTCAATGTCGGACTCTTCCAGGATCTGGGAAAGAGAGAGCTTCAGACCAATCCCAGCCCTTCCTGCCCACCCCCTGGCCTGGCCTGGCCTCGCTACTCACGTTGTCGATGAGCTGCTTCATCTCTGAGGCACTAAGTCGTGTGTCCTCGCCCTGTCCTGTGAGGCAGTTCACGAGCTGACTCAGGTCTTCTCGGCTCAAGGTTCCATCATCATCAAAGTCTAGAGATGGACATGGGAAGCCAGAATGAATGTGGCCAGGGTGAGCTCCAAGGCTCCACAGAAGGCCCCCCGGCTCCCGAGCAGTATGCCACCGCCCAGACCACATAGGGACCAGGCCGTGTCCTGCCAGGCTGCTCCTGGCTCTCACCGAAGATGCGGAAGGCATAGTGGGACTTGATGTCTGGAGTTGCTGTGTCACTGAACACACTGAGGAGGTCCAGGAAGTCCTCGAAACTCAGGCTGTCCCTGGCGGGGGATGTGGAGAAGACCCTGCAGATTCGCTCCTTGAAGGGGTTGGCCTAGGCAAGAGAGCCTGGTGTGAATGCCACAGATGCAGCCCAGGTCACACACTCCTCAAATCCTACCAGGAACTTGGGGGAGCAGGTCACAGTACCCACTCCATGAGCTCAGGCTCACAGGAGACAAGGATCAATGTTTTAGGGCCAGCATGGAGGGCAGGAGGACCAAATGACTTGGGAAAGGGACAGGGATGGTTTCCTGTGAGTCAGTCAAAGGCAGGCCCAGGAGCAGAAAAGGAAGACAAGCATCCTAAGCAAAGAGAACAGGATGGGCTGGTTACTTTAAAACACATTTACTTGAACACTTACTGTGTTATAGGTACTAGGCCAGGCCCTTTGCATAAACATTTTCATAGTAGCTGCGCCCTTGGGTGGCTCAGTCAGTTCAGTACTGGACTCTTGATTTCAGCTCAGGTCATGGGCTCAGGTTGTAATCTCAGGGTCATGAGATCGAGCCCCTCATTGGACTCCGTGCTCAGTGCGGGATCTGCTTGTCCCTCTCCCTCTCCCTGCTCCCCTACCCCAACCCCTCCCTTCTTCTCTCTCTCCCTCCTCTCTCTCTCTCTCTCTCTCTCTCTCTCTCAAATAAATAAATAAATAAATACAAATCTTTAAAAGAATTTTTTCACAGCAACCCTATGGAGAGGTAATCGGCCTCTGGAATAAGGTTTCTCAAACTTTAATAAGGTAGCTCAACTCCTCTTAAAGACAAAACTTCAGGGGAGCCCCGGTGGCTCAGCGGTTTAGCGCGCCGCCTTCAGCCTGGGGCGTGATCCTGGAGACCTGGGATCGAGTCCCATGTCGGGCTCCCTGCACGGGGCCTGCTTCTCCTTCTGCCTGTGTCTCTGCTTCTCCTTCTGTGTCTCATGAATAAATAAATAAAATATTTTTAAAAAATAATAAAAAAAAATAAAGACAAAACTTCTTTGACTCTCCAAGAACATATCCAAAAATCCCAGCTTGAAAAACACTTCCAAAAAAAAAAAAAAAACCACTATTCCAGTTAATTTGACTGGGTGAGTCTGGGAAAGCCCTAGTCCTCAGGAAATTAGAGCTAAGTGGAGAGAAGACCAGAATGGGGTCCAGTGACCACATGATCTCAAGGCGTGTAGGGGAGGGAGGGTGGCGAACCGTTACCTTGAGCTCTGGAAGGCTGAGAATCTGCTCCAAGGACACTCGGATCTGCAGTGACTCCTCCACACTCCGGTGCTCTTGGGGAAGCAGCTCACAAAACCGCCTGTGGGCTCTGGCAGAAGGAAGGGAACCTGTTGGCAAACCTTCCAGTGTGCATCACATCCCCTGCTCCTTGTCTTGCTACCCATTATACACCAAGTGGGGAGCTAAGGCACATACATAGAACCTCTCGGTCATCAAGCATAAGCCAAAAGGAGACGACATATATAACCCCCATGTGTACTGTCACATATGACACAAAACTGCACTGAGAGTCCATTCGGGCAATGGGTATTTACTAAGGGCCTATTGTGTGCCAGGCACTGTACTGGGCATTGGTTCTAGAGCTCCCTGGGGGATGGAGAGGCTGCAGAAGGAGCCAGAAGTTGCCCCTGAAAAACAGGAAAAAGAGTAAAATCGAAATGTCTCCCATCTCACTGCAGGGATCTCCAGCTCCTCAAAGCCTCCCACTTTTTTTTTTTTTTTTTTTTAGCAACTACCCTACAGGATCTCTTCCTCAGCCCTCACCTCCTTCCCACTGGGATTATTTTTGCCAAGGGAAGCCCAGGAATCTCCTCGCTCAAGTGCCTTGACCGCAAAAAGCTGGCACGCGGCCAGGAAGGGGGTTCCAGCCCGAGTTCAAATCCTCCTACTTGGAATGTAGTCTCAGGCAAGTTACCAAACGTCTCTGAAACCTGCTTCACTGCCCCGGGACCTCCCTCCTGAGGATTGAATTAGGTAATGTAGGCAACCGCTTCGCACGGCGGCGGGCGCACGGCGAGCGCTCGGTAAGCGTTAACGGTTACCGCGTCAGTTCAGGTCAAGTTACCCGGAGCCAGGCTCCCGGCGGGCGCGGCGCACGGAGAGCCCCAGCAGCCCCTGCCGGGCGGGGGCAGGAAGTTCGGTTACGCGGAAGCCAGCGAGGCGCAGGCCCCGGGGTGCCCAGCCGGCCGGGGGCGGCGAGGAGGCTCCGCTGCGCGCAGCGGGGCCCCCGAGTCGGCGGAGCGCACGGCCCAGATCTCGGGCTCCGGCTCGGCTGCGGACCTCAGGCGCGCCCCTGCCCCTCCCTCTGGGGGCGCCCTCCGCTTGCCCGCCTGGACAGAGCCCCCCGCAGCCGCCTCTAGAGGACCCGGCTGCTGAGGCTGGACGCTGCACTTACAGGAGGATCTCCTGCTTGGTCAGGAACGTCAACTCCTGGAAGGCAAAACGGGAGGGGTTCAGCGGGCCTCCCGGGGGCCGCACCCGCCCTGCTGCCCGCCCCGGGACCCCGCTCGCCAGCGCCGGGCCGCGCGCAAACTCCCGGGGACCGGCGTCCCGCGCACCTGGTACTCGGCCAACAGCTCCTTGGACAGGCGGCTGCCCGAGCCCCCCATCGTCGCGCCGCGCCGCGCGCACAGCTCCGCCAACTTGCCTCGGGGCGCCGGCAACTTTTTCCACTTCCGCCCTCGGGCCGCGTCACCGCCCTGTCCCCGCGGCAACCGGTCCTGGGGCCGCTGCCCCCAGGCCCGCCCCCTCCTTAAAGTGCCCAGGCGCTGCCGGTCCGGTTCCGCCGACCCGCTCCCGGCTCCCCGCTCCGGGCTCTCCGCGGCCAGCAGGAGGCGGGGCCCGGAGCGGGGCCGGACGCTCCGGGGCGGAGCCCAGGTCGCGCGGCGCCGCCTGCGAGCAGGGCGGGGCGAGCCTCGCCGCGGGCGGGCGGGTGCGCATGCGTGCGCGTCCCCGCCGCCTAGCCATGGCCCGGCTCGGAGCTTGCGGCCGGGGTCGCGCAGAGTCCTCCTCAACTGCTGTAGGTGGCGGCGGCTGCCTGGGGCGCGGTCCGAGCCCCAGGGAAGTACCCGGAGCCTGGAAATCCGGGAAAGCGCGAGACCTGTTACGTGGCCGAAGGCGGCCTGCCGCGCATTCGCGCGCAGCGAGGGCTTTTTCTTCCAGACGCTTCCATTGCACCGTCGCCGCACGTGTTGCAGCCTGCATGCCACCTGCAGGAGACCCCAGGCCCGCTGAGGCTGTACGCTGAGGGTCTGCAGACTGCAGGAGCCGTGCATAGTGATCTTCGATGTTCACCCTACAAGGTAGGTTCCCGTCTTACAAATGTGGACAGCAGGTCCGAGTGGGGAGAGGATTCGGCGACTTGTCTAGGCTTGGGCATGTGGAAAGCCGTCACCCCCGTCTAAGGCTCTTCTCGCGGCTCCGCGTGTCTGTAGGCCTCCCTTGAGCCGACCCCGCGTCCAGAGGCGGCAGGGACTGAGGTTGAGCTGTTTGAGCTTGTCCCCTGTCAATCCTAGGACAGTGCTTGGCACGGAGTAGGCTCTCAACAAATCGCATGCGTGCATGAAGAACCCTGCACACTGTTCTAGAAGGCGAGGATTCCAAGCTGAGAGAGGAGGTGGAGGTGAGATTATTTTGTTTTCACCTTTATTGATGTATAATTGACAAAACAGTAGGGGTTAGTTCTTGATTCTCCTGATTCATTCTCCTTGCTGATCTTTGTAAAGTCTAGATCTGATCATGATGATTTCAGTTTAAAACTAATAAATGGTTAAAAACCTAAATACCGGCCCTCAAAAATCTGACTTCAGTCTCTCTCTGCCCTCTTCTCTTGGCTTTCTCTTGGCTTTCCGGGTCCGGTCACAATGGGCTCTCGGTTGCTCTTACTTTTTAGCCTCAGGGAAGCCCTTCCTAGTTCCCTAGACTAGGTTAGGAATCTTAGGCTTCCAGAATATCCAGGGCTTCCTTCTCTTTGACAACAGCACTGTATCATGTTTGAACTTATGTTTGCTTAGGTGTTGATTAATGTCTGTCGCTCTTCCCCCCCACTAGGCTGTAAGCTCTGTGAAGAGTTCCGAGAATCGTGATCTACAGGATCTGATGGGTGGCAATTGAGTAAATGTTTGATGAATGACTAGCTAAACCCAGCGATCAATAAGGTGTTCGTCTGAGAGTGACTTTAGTAAGACTCACTATTTCAACATGTGAGTCCCACCACTGTGGAAATACTCCATTCCAAGAAGTGGAGGCTGCAAAACAGTGGGAACACCACAACCAGTCAAAGTGAGTATGGTCCCATCCCAACCCAATCATCTTGACACTAGGGCTCTTTCTGTATAAGAGTTCGGTTAGGGGTGCCTGAGTTGGCTCTGGTCATAATCCCGGGGTTCTTGGATCCTGGGATGGAGTCCCAGGGAGTGTGCTTCTCTCTCCCTTCTCATGTTCTTTCTCTCTCTCTTACTCTCTCTCTCAAATAAATAAATAAGATCATAAAAAAATTGTTTTTGGTTAGTAAAAGGATAGGCAAAGAACAGGAAGTTGTCGTAGTGTCTCCTGTACTAGACCGAGGGGAGGAGCACCAGCCAGCCAATGCCGGTCCTTGGACTTTGCAGTGAGATAGTGAAGATATGGAAATTGGAAGTTGCATTGGTGAGCAGTTGTGACATAGATCTCTTAGCCACCTCACTTAGTGTTGAACCCTTCATTGAACAACGTTCTGATTATAATTTTGGTTCCTGGTAGATTTTTTGTATAGAGGAGGGATCAATATTTTGTGCTATTTGGCATGTCTCTCACTCTAAGTTATTGAATAGGCATTCTAGTCTGCTTAGCATACTGTCCTGCCTGCACCTGACCAATTCTTGAGACAATGTAAAACTGAGTTGCTGATATAGTTTTAAAAACCTCTTCTAAAACAAAACAAAACAAAACTGCTTCTAGTGTTACTTATTCAATGGTTTTATTTCTTAGTTGGATCTCTTAAAGTTTTGTTGGTAACTATACCAACTCTTGGATTTGCATTCCTCTTTTTTTGGTTGTTTTCCAGGACATCTTTTCCCTGTTTATAATATTTCCTTCTTCCTGTTTTTCTTGGGACATTAGATAGAGCCACACAAGGTTTCCCCGAGGCGAGTGACCTTTGATCAGAGACCTGAACGAGCTGACCCTTTGAAGAAAGTCTGGGACTAGGGTATTATTGTAGGCTGGAAGGTGGGACAGCATCAAGGCTCTGAGCTGGAAGGAGTTCAGGAAGTGAGGAGCAGAGGAGCCAAGGGGAAGAGGAGAATGGGAGGAGGTGAGAGAGGGAGGCACAGCCATGCCTTGAGAGCCCAGAGGCCACGGTGAGGAAATGAACTTCATTCTGGGGGCTCAAGGTCACATCCCTAGTGACTAGTAGCACAGGAATTCAAACACCTTGGCAGCCTGTAAGGCTTAATCTCTTACCTTTGTCCCACGATGATCCCAAATTCACAGGCATGTTGTCATGCCTGTGAGAGAACTCAGCCCCCAGCCCATACCTGAAGACAGACATGCAACCAGTGCTCCCTTTCCTGTTTTTTTTTTTTTCCTCTAAAGGTTTGATCTTCTCATGTGGTCACTGCTGACTGATCTCTCTAAAGTAGTCTTCTTTATTCATAAGTCATGCTTTTTGCTGACTAGTACACTTTTTTTCTTTTTAAAAGATTTTATTGATTTGAGAGAGATAGAGGGATAGAGAGCACAAGTGGAGTGAGGGACAGAGGAAGAAGCAGATTCCCTACTGAGCCAGGACCCCAATGTGGGGCTCAGTCCTAGGACCCTGCGATCACGACCTGAGCTGAAGGAAGTTGCTTAATTGATTGAGCCACCCAGGCGCCCTTACAAGTTCACTTTAATGTAAATATGACTGTGCCCACTTTCTATTGAGTCTATTGATCAATAATGTCTTTACTCGTATTTTTAGCCTTCTGGTGTCATCAGGGGCACCTGGGTGCCTCAGTCAGTGAACCATCTACCTTCAGCTTAGGTCATGATCTCAGGGTCCCAGGATTAAGACCTGGTTGGGCTCCCTGCTCAGCGGGGAGCCTGCTTCTCCCTCTCCTTCTACCACTCCCTCTGCTTGTGCTTATTCTCTCTCTCTCTTTCTTTCTTCCTGTCAAATAAATAAATAACAATTAAAAAAAATGTGATCCCAAATTTTTATCTAGTCCACTCTTACCCTTGACCTCCAGGTTAGATGGTCAGCTGCCTACACCACTTCTCAGATGCTTGGGCTACATCTCCAGCTCAGCCATCAGAACCGAACTCTCAGTTCCCCCCTACTAATCAACCTATTCCCCATGCCCACCCCACCCCCAGCTCCTTCATCTCTGATTGCCTCTACGGGTGTGCCTCGTTCTGAAGCTGAGGCCCCTCCCAGGGCTTCCCTGTGCCTCTGTCCCCTTAGCTAGCTTGTCAGCAGGCCCTGCTCTTCTGACATTCCAGATAGGACCCAAGTCCCCTACTCCTTTCTCTCTATCACTGATCCCACCTGTGCCATCCAGTCGCCCTCTCCATTTGCCTGGCCATCAGGGTTGCCTTCCTCTTTACTCCCCTATATCCACCTTCCACACAGCAGTTTGAAAAAGGTTTATAAAGTATCACATGGTGCTTTTTAAAAAAAATTTTATTCATGAGAGATGCAGAGAGAGAGAGAGAGGCAGCGACCCAGGCAGAGGAAAAAGCAGGCTCCATGCAGGGAGCCCGACATGGGACTTGATCCCGGGTCTCCAGGGAGCTGGACAGCCCTGGGCTGAAGGTGACGCCAAACCACTGAGCCACCCAGGCTGCCCTCCATTTAGAATAAAACCTAAGTGCCTGACCTTGGTGCATACGGGCCTGCAGCTAATCTGGCCTCTGACTTCCTCTCCAGCTGATTTTCCACCCTCTCCTTGTTGGCCATGCTCTGGTTAACCTCTGTTCTGTTTTTGGGTTTTTTTTTTTTTAATTTTTTAAATTTATTTATGATAGTCACACAGAGAGAGAGAGAGAGGCAGAGACATAGGCAGAGGGAGAAGCAGGCTCCATGCACCAGGAGCCCGATGTTCTGTTTTTGGAACAGGCCAAACACCTGCCTGAATCAGGACCTTGGACTTCTAGTCTTCCTTTCCTAAATACATTTTCCTTGGCTCTTCATTGCAGGCTTCCACTCATTCTGTGCATGTCTTTTCTCAGCTGTCACCTCAGAGAGCTCTACCCTGCCCTGTTGCTGAAGTACAATACCCTGATCCCACCTTTTATTAGTTATCCTCTATTGTATCACATTTATTTTCCACAGAAAGCCAATACCATTAGCATTCCTTGAGCAGTTAACCTGTTCATTTTGCTCATTGTCTGACTCTACCCGTTATATAAGTTCCATAACAATAGGAACCTTTTCACCTCATTTGCTACTGTGCCCTCATTCATGCATAGCAGTTACTTTATTTACTTACCTTACTTTTGGTAAAGATTTATTTATTTATGTTAGAGAGAGAATGGGTTGGGGCAGAGGGAGAGGAGGAGAGAGAATCCCAAGCAGACTCCATGCTGAGCACAGAACATGATGTGGGCCTCAATCCCACAACCCTAAGGTCATGACCCTTATGATTGAGCTGAAGAGTTGGATGCCCAACTAGCTGAGACACCCAGGTGCCCTGGAGTGACTGACCCTTGTTCTCAGGGTTGTGAGTTATAGCCCGACATTGGGCATAAAGATTACTTAATTTAAAAAAAGAGAGACAGAGAAAGGCTGAGTGTAAATGGTGATTTTTCCCCCCAGGCATTGGAATAAGGGTTGTATTTTATCTTCATTTTTTTTTTCTCCCATTAAGTTTATTCAAGCGCTCCTGGGTGGCTCAATGATTAAGCATCTGCCTTTGGTTCACGTCATGATTACAGGGTCCTGGGATCGAGTGCCGCATCAGGCTCCTTTCAGGGAGCCTACTTCTCCTTCTGCCTATGTCTCTGCCTCTCTCTGTGTGTCTCTCATGAATAAATAAAATCTTTAAAAAAAAAGTTTGTTCGATATACATGACCGTTAGAAAAAGCATATATTTTTTATTTCAGCAAAAATGAATGCTAATCTGCATGTGATAGAATCATGAGTGTTTTCCATATTTTCAAAATACTTTCCCAAAGGCATGTATTATTTTTGTAATCAGAACAAAAAGTAAAATTTATTTGAAAATCAAAATAAAATTTCTGGAAATGGGACAGCATTATGTATTTTTCACCTCTTATGACTGTTTCAGGTCAGCCCCATGGCTGTTCCACAGGATTCAAATGAGACTCCCTATTTGCTCCCTCCGAACAGTAAGGACTGGGAAGAGCAAAGCATTCCTGATTTTATCTATGGGCAGAAGGAACTCATTCTGGAAGGGATTCAGTGGCCAAGGACCGCACCCAGCCTCCTGGACAGGATAGCAAGGTCTCGCTTCGACTCTGTTCTCTGCTCCGCCTGGAGGCAGCGGATGGAACTGGGGCTGTTCCGCTACTGCCTGGGGAAGCTGCAGACCCAAACCCTCCCTGGGCCAGTGGGTTTTGTGGCCCAGCTGAACGTGGAACGAGGTGTGCAGAGGAGGCGCCCTCAGAACATCCAGAGTGTGAAGCAGGCATTTGACCCTGAACAGTTTAACTTCAACAAGATCCGACCAGGAGAAGTCCTCTTCCGTTTGCTCCGGAAGCCTGATCTCCCAGGTGCTGTTCAGCAAGAGGACATCTACGTAATGATCAATGTCAGCCCCTTGGAATGGGGCCACGTGCTGCTGGTGCCCGCGCCCACCCGTGGGCTCCCCCAGCGCCTGCTGCCAGCTGCACTGCGGGCCGGCATTGAGGCTGTGCTTCTGAGCTCACACCCAGGCTTCCGCGTTGGCTTCAACAGCCTAGGTGGCTTGGCCTCTGTGAACCACCTCCACCTGCACGGATATTACCTGGCTCACAGACTGCCTGTGGAGGGAGCACCGAGTGAGCCCCTGGACCCGGGGGGCCATTTACATCTGCTCCAGGCCCTCCCAGCTCCTGGCTTCCTCTTTTACACAAGCGGGCGAGGGCCTGACTTGGAAGCCTTGGTGGGCAGGGTATGTCGGGCCACTGATTATCTGACTGACCATGAGATTGCCCATAATTTATTTGTGACCCGGGGGGCCCCACCTGGAAAGACATCACCTTCCTCAGCTCTCACAGGTGTCCGAGTAATTCTCTGGGCCCGGAAGTCCAACTTTGGAGTAAAGGAAGGTGACGCATTCAACGTCGCCCTCTGTGAGCTGGCTGGGCACCTCCCCATCAAAACATCCCAGGATTTCGGCACTCTGACAGAGGCGGCTGCTCTGGCCCTTATTCAGGACTGTCTGCTGCCCCCAGCCCAGGCAGAGGAAATACAGGCAACTCTGGTGGACTTGATAGCCAAGGATGAGCAGTAATCCTTCTGGAAGTATTTATTTTCTATCCAGTCTAAGGCCCTTTCCGGAAAGTTGTCCACAGTGGTCGTTTGGGCTTCCGTGACTGCCTCTCAGCCTAAAGGGAGGGGTAAGGAACTGATAAGTGTTCTCTGTAAAGAGAAGAAAGCCTAGAATAAATCAAATGAATGAGCCATCATGAATGTATCTGCTGCTGCTTTTTTTTTTTTAATGATTTTATTTATTTATTTATTTGAGAGCAGGAGCAGGAGTGGGGGAGTGGCAGAGGCAGAGAGAGAGGCAGGCTCCCACTGAGCAGGGAGTTGCATGGGGGACTCAACCCGAGGACCCTGGGATCATGACCTGAACCAAAGGCAGACACTTAACCGACTGAGCCACCTGAGTTCCCCAGTGTATCTGCTTTTTATCTTTCTTCTTGGACAAGCGTCAGGAATGTCAAACTGGTTACTAAGAAGGGAGTATGGGGATATCTGAATGGCTCAGTTGCTTAGGCATCCAGGCTCTTGATTTCAGCTCAGGTCATGATCTCAGGGTCCTGGGATTGAGCCCTGGGCTCCCTGCTTAGTAGGGAGTCTGCTTCTCCTTCTCCCTCTGCCTGTGGCTCCTGCTGTGCGAGTGCACTCTCTCATAAATATTTAAAAAGGGGGCAGCCCATGTGATTCAGCGGTTTAGCACTGCCTTCAGCCCAGGGCGTGATCCTGGAGACCTGATCGAGTCGGTGGGACTCCCTGCGAGGAGCCTGCTTCTCCCTCTGCCTGTCTCTGCCTCTCTCTCTGTGTGTGTCTCTCATGAATTGAATTAAATAAATAAACAAATAAATAAGTAAATATTAAAAAAGTAAAGCGTTACATATTCTTGCCTTGCGGACTTCCTTATATATCATGTCTTGGCAAAGTAATAGTTTATGTGCTTCTGGCGCTGTGCGCCACGTCCTCTGCTCTCGCCTCCCTGCTTATTCTCCCTTTGCCTGCCACTGATTATCATTTCTCATCCCTCCCCTGCATTTGGCCCTGCTCCCCCATAGGCCCTACTTACAGCACCTTCCCCTGCCTGGCCAACCTGGAACTTCCCTCCAGCTCCCAGCACTGAGTGTTCCTCACATCATCTCATGTGGAAAGAGGCGTCCTCACAACTTGAATACCACCATTTAAGAAGATGAGCTGGCGGCTGGCAGAAGTCTGGCAACTAGTCTAAGGCCAGACAGCCTTAGTGGCAGGGTCAGGACTGCAGCGCCGGCGTCAGGTGCCAGCCTCTGGCACTCATGACTGCCTCTCTAGGTAATGGCTCCCATAGTGGTGGCATTGTCCTTCACGGTGGATAGGCCCGAGCTGAGGTTCAGGTTCATGGGTAGTTGGCTTTCTCTGGGCAGGCCTCTATGAAGTTTTCACAAAGAATTTGAGTTTTATGCCCTAGAAGATGTTATGAAGTCTCACTACTGAGTTAAGGCAGAATATATGCCATAAAAAAAAAAAAAAAAAAGTTGTGGGGATTCCTGGGTGGCTCAGCGGTTTGGCGCTGCCTTCAGCCTAGGGCATGAACCTGGAGTCCCTGGATGAGTCCCACATCCGGCTCCCTGCATGGAGCCTGCTTCTCTCTCTGCCTATGTCTTTGCCTCTCTCTCTCTCTCTCTCTCTGTGACTATCATAAATTAAATAAATAAATAAATAAATAAATAAATAAATAAATAAATAAAATCTTAAAAAAAAAGTTAAGTTGAACATTTACATTTAAATATTATATATTGGGATCCCTGGGTGGCGCAGCGGTTTGGTGCCTGCCTTTGGCCCGGGGCACGATCCTGGAGACCCAGGATCGAATCCCACGTCGGGCTTCCTGCATGGAGCCTGCTTCTCCCTCTGCCTGTGTCTCTGCCTCTCTCTCTCTTTGTGACTATCATGAATAAATAAATAATAAAAAAAAATCTAAAAAAAAAAAAATAAATATTATATATTTGGGATCCCTGGGTGGCACAGCGGTTTGGCGCCTGCCTTTGGCCCAGGGCATGATCCTGGAGACCCGGGATCGAATCCCACATCAGGCTCCCAGTGCATGGAGCCTGCTTCTCCCTCTGCCTGTGTCTCTGCCTCTCTCTCTCTCTGTGACTATCATAAATAAAATAAATAAATAAATAAATATTATATATTTGACATTTTATTTCCTATAAAGAGTTTCGGGTTGACGTCCTCTTTTTGGCACATTGTGGTAATTTTAGCTTATGCTTCTTTTCTGTGAGCCTTTGCATCTACAAGCTCCAATAGCATCACTTTGTTTTGCTTGCTCAGACTGAGGGAAGTGCAGATGACCATTACAGCTAACTGGACTTTGTGTCTCAGGCCATGAGGCCAAATACCAAAGTTTATCCCCAGGACTGCTGTTCAGAAGAAAGCCTCTGTGGCCAAACTGTTTCCATAAGAAAGGGGAGGGGGAGGGTTCAAATACGTTTTCTCTATGCTGCTACTTCCCAGCTGTTTATTTAGTTCGTGAATTGTCAAGAAGGATTTGGACTTTTTCTAAGCATAAGTGTGGACTACTTAGGGGACCCTCTGTACTCAGCTTCTGGCACTGTAGGAAGACAGGAAGGCACGATCCAGCCCAGCGCCTCCACTTCCGCTAACTTTTCGGGGGAGGGCCTATGTAACCAAGGAGTTTGGGATTTGATCTAAGGTGAAACCTTGAAGAGTTTTAAATTGGGGAGTATCAAATTTGCATTTTAGAAAGAATATTTAAATAAAAAAAAATTAAAAAAAAAAAAAAGGGATCCCTGGGTGGCGCAGCGGTTTGGCGCCTGCCTTTGGCCCGGGGCGCGATCCTGGAGACCCGGGATCGAATCCCACGTCGGGCTCCCGGTGCATGGGGCCTGCTTCTCCCTCTGCCTGTGTCTCTGCCTCTCTCTCTCTCTGTGTGACTATCATAACTAAATAAAATAAAAAAAAATTAGAAAGAATATTTAAGCTGTAATGTGGATAGAGGAGGGGAGAACAATCAGGGAGTCCAATGAAGAGATTGCTGCATGGTGGCAATTCTGGCAAGAACTGGTGATGGGGGGGATGGGGGCTCCCAGGTGTCTCAGTGGTTGAGGGTCTGCCTTCCGCTCAGGTCGTGATCCCGGGGTCCTGGGATGGAGGCCTGCATCGGGTTCCCCGCAGGGAGCCTGCTTCTCCCTCTGCCTGTGTCTCTGCCTCTCTGTCTCTCATGAATAAAAAAATACAATATTTTTTTAAAAAGCAAGAAATGCATGAATCAGGAAATGTCCACGTCTTTTTAAAGGAGGGAGATTCCTAAGTGTCCTTTAGATGTAGGCACGTGGGATAATCTTAAAATGACACGGTGAACAGAGAGCGGCGAGCGTGGCACAGAAGTCAGAGGGCGACCATGGGGGGTGGGGGGCCGGAGGGCGACGGTGAAGGAGCGCGAAGACGCGGCCGTTCTGTTACTCTCGGCGCAGCACAAGAGCAATCCTCTCCGCCGTCCCTCCCGAGGGCGGACGCGACAAACCCAAGGGAGGGCAAGCAGGCGTTTGTCCCGGACACAGACTCAGCCAAATTCCAAGAGGCTGGTTCGAAACAGGCTTCAGTGAGACGAGCGTGAGGTGGCGCAGAAGGACCACAAGTCCCAGCGGCCCCAGCGCGAGACCCGCCGCAGAGGCCCCGCCCCCAGAACGCTTCTCCAATGGGGGCCGCCCTCGTGTCCATGGCGACAGCGGTGGCGGCTGCTACCGGCTTGCTCTAGGAGGCGCCGCTGCCACCGCCGGGATCTCTGAGCTAGAAGCGAACCCCGGTGGGGGGGGGGGGGAGGGAAAGCGGGCTCCCCCTCGCGATCGGCGGGGACAGTCAGTCCTGTGGAACAAGAAGGCGGTCCCGGAAGCCCAGAGACGCCCGGGAAGGAGCAGGAGCCGGGCGAAAGGCGGACATGAACGACCAGCCGAGTCCAGCCCCAGACCGCTAGGGGCGGACCCACCAGCCCCTCCCCTCTCCTCTGAATCTCGGGTGGGCAGTGTCCGCCCAGCAGAGCCCAAAGGGTCTTCCCCTCCGCCAGCTGAGCCCAGAGGGTCTAAGCCATCAAGTGCCAGTGTGTACACCTGGAGAAAGTGTGTGTCTCGGTTTCCCCGGACAGGGAAAGGGCCGGCTTAGGGGACCCTTGGTTTTTAGCTCTATATTAAAATCGAAGGTCCCCCCAGAGCCCAGGCTTCTCCCTTCCCACTCAGGAATAAAAAAGCCATGGTCATGGCCCCTGCCAGCTCTGTTCAGTTTCTCCGTGCACCCCAGTGTGCTGTATGGAGGAGGGATCTTCGATAATCAGAGCTGGTTGAAGAATCCAACATCTCACAGGCATTCCCCCACCACGCCCCCATTACCTAGAAAGATTGTTCTGTTGTTTTTTTTTTTTTTAAGATTTTATTTATTTATTCATGAGAGACAGAGAGAGAGATATAGCAGAAGGAGAAGCAGCTCCCACCGAGGTGCCTCAGTATTGTTCTGTTCTGAAGGGGCAGCATCCTTCCCTTCTAGCACCATGAAGGAAGTCCTTTGCCCGGACACCTGCAGCCTTCCTGACCCTGGAGGAAGGAAGTTCTGAGACATATTTCACTCTCACCCCTCTCCCCTCAGAATCCAAGAGGATGGAGCCAAATACCTGCAAGACCAGTGAATCAGAAGACGAGTACGCTGAAGAGGAATCTGAGGAGGAGTGTGTTAAAGGGGAAGCTACCATCCCTTCTAACTCTTCTCAGCAGGAACTCTCAAAGGCTGACTATAAGGAATTTGGGGATGGAGTTCCCTTATCTATTGTGGCCAAGAAAATTCCAAAGAAAATCATAGCCCCAGATGACTTAGAAGTTGGGAGGAGAAAGAGAAGGCAGAAACGCAGGTAACAGGTCCCTGGGCCCACTCACCTGCCTAGCTTCAGAAGAGAGTCACCCCTTGGCTTCCCTTCAGTAGCCGGGGGTCTTCCCTTTATTCTACAAAAGAGGGCAGAGAATACAGGAACATCATTAACCTTTTAGTACTACAAAAACACAAAATTCAGAACCATTTGAAATGGCTTGGTTTGCGTTTTCAGCACATTTATATCATCCTGGTTTGTGTGTGTGTGGCTTTCAGAGAAAATGAATTGCACTATAGATGTGTTGGGTGTCTGTTCATCTGGGTGCCTTGCAGCCCAAGTTGTGTCATTTGTCCCACTACCTGATTTCAACTATACCTCCATTCCAGACCCCTGGCCATCAACCTGACCAACTGCAAATATGAAAGCGGTAAGCATCCAGCTCACTCACACACCACTGTGCATAAAGGGCACCTGCAGCTTTTGCTCTGGGGACAGTCCCCTAGTCAGGTTCTCTGTCCCTGCATCTAGTTAGGGCCTATAACCTGTATGTGCCTACTAGTAACTGAGACATCACTGTTCCAGTCTTAGGAGGAGGATGGGAATCCACCCCCCAACCTTAACTAATAAGAGAAAAAATGACTGAAGGTCATCATTGCCCCACCCTTCCCAGATTTTACCAGAATTGAGATGAGAACAGGTCAATACAGTTTTTTTTTTTCAAGGAAGTTTTTGAGGGGGCTTCAGGAATTCAAAGAAAAAAAATATTACCAGCTCTGTCAACTAGCTTTCTGTCTCCTCCTATGCCCACTGCCATAGGTGCCAGGGGTCACCTAGTTGTGAGATGCCTGTGTGACCCCCTACAGAGGGTCAGCTCTGCAGGTCAGAAACCCAGTTTTGAAAGAGACTGGACTGACAGGAGCAGAGAGCCAGGCTCTAGTTTTCTCTGTCACAGATTTTGGAAGGGCCCTGACAGCCTCATGAACTTGGAATTGTCACATGGTAATTAAATTGCAGAACTGAGGTAAGAACCCCTTCCATCCTCAGCCCACTCTCTGGTCAGGTCTGTTCCTTCCCTGACCCAGATACAATCCCAAGGCTTGCTGCCAGTGCCCAGGCTGGCACCACTGACCTGCCTCTCTCTGCAGTGCGCCGGGCAGCCCAAATGTGTGGCTTGAAGGAGGTGGGGGAGGACGAGGAGTGGACTGTGTACTGGACAGACTGCTCTGTCTCCCTGGAAAGAGTCATGGACATGAAGAGGTTTCAGGTACAAGTTCTTGATCCAAGGGCCTAAAGGGGCTGTGGCCGCTGAATGAGTACACCTGCCCTTCTGGTCAGGCATCTGGGGCCGCTACCCTCTCTGGCTGTGCCCCTGGGCAGAGCAGGAAAGGCCATGGCCAGGGCTTCTGCTCCATTGGGAAAATTCTCCTCTGGGGTGTCTGAAACTTCTATTTTAGGAAGGAAGTATCTACTGGGCACTGTTTGCCTGGAGGCATTTGTGCCACCTGGCCTCCTTTGGGGTAGGTGAGCCCACCTAAAAGGAGGTGAGCTACAGGTGCCCAAGAAGCCCCACAGAAGGGATCTGCCTGTCCCGCAATTGTAAGAATAAGCACAACAATAATTAACAGTATTGATGGAGGGCGTACTGTATGTCAGACACTGTGTTAAGTGCTTTTACATCCTTCCCTCAATTAAATCCTTGAAAACAACCCTGAGTGCCAGATACCCTTGTGTTAAGAGGATACCAAGGTTTAGAAGTATCAAGTTCACACAGCTAGTGAATGGTAAAGCTGGTGAGACAGTCCAGAACCAACTTGAGATGCTGCATCCCAGCACCAGGGTTCCAGCAGGCCACCATGGCAACATCATATGCTGGGGGTGCCATGGGAGTGCATTTCCTGGAATTGGTTCTCAATTTCCTTTTCTCTTTTGGAAAATGGTTTCTCATTTGCTTGTGCTCCCATGCACCAATTATTCTTATAAGACTAGTCCCTGGTGATGTGGGGGAGGTGATAAGGTGGCTAGAAAGCCCAAGTCCTGGTGAGTCCTTCTAGCTGCCCTTCATTCCCTAAACTCAGTGTGGATGTTTGAGAAGGTTCTCACTAGTCCTAGGGAAACTTCTTTTTCTCCCTTAGGGTTTTAGGTACAATGTTTATCCAACTATGACTTGTTGGTTTTTTTTTTTTTTTTTTTTTTTTAGAGAGAGAGTTTTTGGGTGTGCCTACTTGGATGGGGGAGGAGCAGAGGGTGAGGGGAAGAGAGAGAAACTCAAGCAGGATCCATGCTCAACTTAGAGCCCAATGAGGGGCTCAATCTCACCACCCTGAGATCATAACCTGAGCCAAAATCAAGAGTCAGATGCCAACCCACTGAGCCATCCAGGCACCCCCTCTGCGGTGACTTCTACCTTGAATTTCCCAGTCCTCCTGGTATGCCCAAGGCCCCAGGGATGGCTGCTAACTCTGCTGGTGGAGGTAGATAACCAACTGACTTTGTTTCAGAAAATCAACCACTTCCCTGGCATGACAGAAATCTGCCGCAAAGATCTGCTGGCTCGCAACCTCAACCGCATGCAGAAACTCTATCCTACTGAGTACAACATCTTCCCCCGCACCTGGTGCCTCCCTGCAGAGTGAGTGAGGCCCCCCTCCCAGGGCTGATATCCTGGGGGAGGAAAGGTTTCGCCGTGTGAGTTCCCTCCAGACTCTGGCCTTGTGACTTAGAAAGTGTCAAGGGATGAGAGTTTCACCTGGTCAAAGAAAAGCAGGTTTGAGACTGACGCTCTGGGAAGAGCATGAACAGCAGAACTCCACAGGGCCTGGCCCGGCTGTGATGCACAGAACCCTTCTGACCAGCCTCCTTCTGCACATAGCTATGGGGACTTCCAGTCCTATGGTCGTCAGCGAAAAACCCGCACTTATATCTGCAAGCCAGACAGTGGCTGCCAGGGACGGGGCATCTTCATTACCCGAAATCCCCGGGAGATCAAGCCAGGAGAGCATATGATCTGCCAGCAATACATCTCCAAGGTGAAGGGTGCTTTGGGACCACCAGGGCCTTCCCTGCAGCACTGGGGCACCTCATCTCTCCCAATGCCAGAGAGGAAGCCAGTTTCCGGCTTCGCCTTCCTGCCATTTGCCCGTATCTTGGAGGCAGTACAGAGCCTTGGTTCAGAGCCAGCCTGCCTGCCTTCCTAGATATGTGATCTCAGGCAATTTCTTACTCTTTCTTAGTTTCTTCATTTGTTGAATGGGAATAATAACAGTAACCATTTTATGCCTCATATAGTTATTATGAAAATTAAATGAGTTGTTATATATTTGAAACACAACAATGCAGTGGTATAGAATGAGCACTTCGAAAGTATTCTTCCCTGGTGGGTTTGCATGCTTTCAGCCCTTCCTCATTGACGGCTTCAAGTTTGATATGCGAATCTATGTCCTGATCACATCCTGTGACCCTCTCCGGATTTTCATGTATGAGGAGGGCCTGGCCCGCTTTGCCACTATGCCCTACATGGAGCCCAGCCACAACAACCTGGTGAGGGGCCAGCTGGCAGTCCTGGGGGGCAGGGTGGTACCCTCTTCTCATGAGTGCTGAGGTTCTATAGAGAAAACAGGTAGAGAGGGTTGTCATTGTCACCCAGAAAGAAGGAAGGAACCTGTGAGCCCCCCAGCTCCTGGTGGGGAAGAGAGCATTTGGTGGGTGGTGACTGCTATAAGGCCCTACCTAGAGGAGCTTGGCATACCCTCTTCCCCTGGAATTTTTAGATGAAGGACAGGAAATGAGCTGTCCTGGGGAGGAATGGGTAATAAAAAGGGAATGATGGGCTGGAGAGGGTGCTGCAGGGAAGCCGTCTGAGCCACAGGGCCACTCTCTTCCCAGGATGACGTCTGTATGCACCTGACCAACTATGCTATCAACAAACACAATGAGAATTTTGTCCAAGATGATGCTGTAGGCAGTAAGAGGTACTCCGGACTCTGATTGCACTTTAAGCACTACAGTCTGAGCACCCCATGACATTGAGCTGGCTTTTGGGAGGCCAGTGCTCAGGAAAACAACCTTTACAGACCGCTGTCCTGTGCATGATCCCTAAGTGCAGCCCCACCCCCACCCCGATAACTAAGCCCCACTCCACGCTCCCACGTAGATACAGAATTAAGGTAATTAGGGTTAGTGGTAGGGAGCCTCCTGCCTGTAGCCCAGACCCATTGGTGTAGAAATGGGTCCTTCTGAGCACTGGGCCTCACAGGAAACTGTCTACACTGAACGCCTGGCTGCAAGAACACAGCTACAACCCCGAAGAGCTGTGGGGCGACATTGAGGACATCATCATCAAAACCATCATCTCAGCTCATTCTGTTCTTCGCCACAACTACCGAACCTGTTTTCCCCAATATCTGAGTGGAGGTACATGTGCCTGTTTTGAGATCCTTGGTTTTGACATCTTGCTGGACCACAAGCTGAAGCCCTGGCTGCTGGAGGTGAGGAATATCTCCTGGGCTTTGCAAAACCAAGGTCCAGAGGCCTCCCTGAACAGGATGCCTGGGATAGGAGTGCACTCAGGTGGTGGACCCAGTGGCAGCCCTGGGGTGGGTAGGAACTGGCAGAAGGTATTAAGATCTCTACACTTTTGACCTGCTGAGTCAAACCTCAGTGGTTTCTGGCCTCCACCACAGGAATCCAGGATTTGGATCCCAAGTGTTCCTCATGTAATCTTTGTCTTTAGGGACACTGTATCTATAGAATCAGGCTGTCTGGTTTGCTCTCACCAGCCTGTGTAAGGGAGGAATCTTAGTGGCAGAGCCCTGTGGCCTTGGATGTCAGAACATCCAGCCTCCTTGGCTGAGGCCTCTGTGGGGGATGTCTTGACTAGACCCTCCAGCCAGGCCTGCAAGACACCACACCTGCTTGGGTGGTCTAGGAACAGGGTGGATAATGACTCCTCCTGGCAGGTAAACCACTCTCCAAGCTTCACCACTGACTCCCGCCTCGATCGAGAAGTGAAGGATGCACTTCTCTGTGATGCCATGACCCTTGTCAACCTCCGGGGCTGTGACAAAAGGAAGGTGATGGAGGAGGACAAGCGGCGAGTCAAGGAGCGGCTTTTCCAGTGCCACCAACAGCCACGAGACACCAGATGCTCCAGGTGTTTGACTTTTCTCATTTATTATCACTTGCCTGAGCGTAAAAGTGCTTCTTTGGGTGGCAAAGGTGGTCTGGGGCTAATTAGCTATGAAGAACTTTTTTTTGGCATAGATAATATATTACATATCACTGACAATATGTTCAAAATTCAAAAGATGTTGTGAATAATATCTCTTACCCTTCTCCAGCTACTGTATCCTCCCTGGAGGAACCAATCTATAGGGTCACGTGTATACTTTCACTAACATTTAATGAATTCATACCTATACCATATATATCTATGATATATCTATATATACAGATTGTTCTTCTCCCTTTATCTACCCAGACAATAGTGTAACTTTCACACTCTCTGTACCATGCTTAGCAGTGTAGTTTAGAGCTATTTTACACTAGCACATATAATGTATGTGGTTGGATTAGCTGTTCTTGTTCTTGTTTTTTAACAAAGCTCCTCTAAGAATTTCGTAATAATGAAACCGAAAGTCATTCAATAATAAGGGATTGTTTAAACCAGTATTTTTCACCCACTATTGCTTTCATTATAAGATGAAAAGTTTGGGTTTCATTAGAAGATGAAAAGTTTGGGTTACAAACCTGGTGATTTGTTGCTGATACTAAATTATAAAAATGTTCATAATACATACAAATGAATTGGAGTGGATTTAGAATTATTCCTATAACAATACTGCTCTTCCCTACCTGCGTTGCAATATGCAAGGTCAGCTGTGTATTTGATTTGTCATGATATCTTGAGGGCCTTGGTGTAGGCACTCAAATGTGTGAATGGAGGTGAAGTATAACTGTAATACACTGGGTATTCCCACAGTGGGACTGCACACATGACTGTATGGATCATGTCTTTCAGTGGGGAAAAGGGCTAAAAACCACTGGACTTTATTAAACACAAATATACAAGGGTGCCTGACTGGCTCAGCCAACGGAGCGTGCCACTCTTGATCTTGGGGTTGTAAGTTCGAGCCTCATGCTGGGTGTAGAGATTATTTAAAAATAAAATCTATGGGGATCCCTGGGTGGCGCAGCAGTTTGGCGCCTGCCTTTGGCCCAGGGCGCGATCCTGGAGACCCGGGATCAAATCCCACGTCGGGCTCCCGGTGCATGGAGCCTGCTTCTCCCTCTGCCTGTGTCTCTGCCTCTCTCTCTCTCTCTCTCTGTGTGTGTGTGACTATCATAAATAAATAAAAATTTTAAAAAAATAAAATAAAATAAAATAAAATAAAATAAAATAAAATAAAATAAAATAAAATAAAATAAAATCTATGGGCAGCCCTGGTGGCACAGTGGTTTGGCGCCGCCTGCAGCCAGGTGTGATCCTGGAGACCGGGGATCGAGTCCCACATCAGGCTTCCTGTATGGAGCCTGCTTCTCCCTCTGCCTGTGTCTCTGCCCCTCTCTCCCTCTGTCTCTATGAATAAATAAAATCTTTAAAAAAATAAAATAAAATAAAATCTATTAGGGACGCCTGGGTGGCTCAGAGGTTGAGCATCTGCCTTTGCCTCAGGGAGTGATCCTGAGGGTCCAGGATCAAGTCCCGCATCCGGCTCCTTACATGGAGCCTGTTTCTCCCTCTACCTTTGGCTCTCTGTTTCTCATGAATAAATAAATAAAATATTTAAAAAATAATAAAAATCTTAAAAAAAAAAACAAAAGCACAATCATAGAATCACTTGAACACCAGGAAGCCATTTAACAATGTTGTATGATCCCATTTTTCTCTGAAACAATAAAGGAAGGAAGAAAGAAAAGAAGCAAGGTAGTTAGTAGCAAAGCTAGGATTCAGACTTGGGGGATGCTCATAACCAACATGCTAATTGCACAGTAAGATTATGGGAGGTTCTTTTTGTTTTGTTTTTTGTGTTTTTTTTTTAGATTATGGGAGGTTTTATCTTTTCTGCTCTTCTATATTTTCTATAATTAACATATATTGCCCTATAATCAGAAACCTAAAAGATTGTGATAACTTGGAGTGCTAGCTTATGAGTGGACTCCTTTGCACTCAAGATGAAAACCAGATTTCTGGAAGTCAAACCTCTATTTCCATGGCTACACACAGGTGGGATTGGCCAGATGGTTTCGGCAACTTTCCCTACATGGGCAGTAGCCAGAAAGGCCACGAAGCTATCAGGAGATACTCAAGGCTTTGGCCAGCTTTCCTTTCCTCACCGAACATTCTCACAGTTCTCCCGACTCACTCTGAGCTTGGTTTCCATAGGCGAGAACAGAGGGAGTCATCCCATGTGGCGGTACTAGATCAGGAACGCTACGAGGATTCCCACCTCGGAGGATATCGGCGGATCTACCCTGGGCCTGACATGAAGAAGTATTCACCTTTCTTTAAGCACAATGGCTCCCTCTTCCAGGAGACTGCTGCTTCCAAGGCCAGGGAGGAGTGTGCCAGGTAGTTTGCTTTGCATTCTCTTCTGTCCACTTGGGTGGGGCATACTCTGTAGCTGAACTGCTTCCCAGCAGGGTATAGAGAGGAAGGCAGACACTTGAGCCAAGAGGAATGGAGTCATAAACTCTATCAGACTCTTAGGGACAGAGTTTTCATTTAAGTTAGGTTTCCTGTCTTCCCCTTCAATTCTTCTCCCATCCATCCCCCCAACAGATTTCCCACTCTCCCTCACCCTACTTCTTCCCAACACAATTTCTCCAGTGTCTGAAGTTGCTGTGTCTTGTCAGGCAGCAACTGGAAGAGATCCGCCTTAAGCAGGAACAGCAGGAGACCTCAGGCAGTAAGAAGCGGAAAGAAAGCAGAGACCAGAACCAGGGTGAATCAGCAGGGGAGAAGAGCCAATCCAGGGCCGGGCTCCGGGCATTCTCCACCCACTTGGCTTACAGGAACCGGACCTGGGAGAAAGAGGTGTCAGGGGTTTGGTAGCTCTTGCCTTGCTGCCGGAAACAGGTTGGGACTCCTAGAGAAGGGAATCTCTGCTGTCCTCTCCTCCTCTTGTATAAGAGAGAGGAGCTCCTAATTAATGTATCTGACCTTGTGGAACAGGTGGCGAGAGAATGGATAGCAGAGGGAACCTTCCACTAGGGTCAGGGAAGGGATGGTGGGAGTGGAGTGGGTGGGAGTCCCATAGGCATCCTTGCTGATGGTGTGGAAGATCGCCCCTGGAGATCTCGCATTCATCTCTTGTGTACCTTGTAGCTGCTGTCAGTACACCTGGATACCATGCATCCGCAAGAAATTGTGGAAGAGGAGGAGCTGGAGAGAATGAAGGCTTTGCTACAAAGGAAGAATCTTATCCGAAGCCTCGGTATTGTAGAGCAGCTCACTCGCATGCTGCAGCCCAACCACCAGGGCCAGAGAAAGCTTGAGGAGTATGGGGTGAGGGTCCCTGCGCGCACCCTCTCACAGAACAAGGGAACAAGGGCTGCATTGGCACGCGGTGGTGGCTGCAGCACAGGAGGCTAATGTGATGGTGTCTGGCGTGGAGCCTGGGAAAACAGTATGCTGGGCATTGGGAAAGGGTCTTTGTTCCTTTTGCATTTGTTCCCAAGCTCCCTTGTTTGTAGTAATGACATTCGGCCAAGTGCAGCTCCCCACCTTCTCGTAAGAGTTGCTCTCTCTACCTGAGTCTTGCAGTAACCCCAAACTCGTGACAAACAAGGTCACCAGTCATGGTGGCTTCCTTGTAATCTCTCCTTAGTGCTGCCAGTGCCATGGTTCTAACAGGAATTAAGTAAACAGACTTGGGCCAACAGAGCAGCTGCTGCATTCACTATTCCCTGGGCTAGTAGCAAGTGTACTGGGTCCTCTGTTTTTGCTAAGCCCCAAAGGAGTAGCTGGTTCAATAGTGGTTGTGGCCTAGAAGAGATGTTTCGGTTACTTGTTTTTTCCCACCATTCTGCCCAGCCTCATAAGAAATGTGGTAAGGGGCTGCTTTCTCCTCCAGGCTAGATTTCACCAGGACAGGCTGGGCAGTCAAGAACTGCAATCTGTGAATCTGGTCCCATTGGTCTTCCTGAGAGGGGCCGCCAAAGTGCAGGGCCCTCCTCATTTTCTGTATCCAGTTCGGATCCAAGAATTCATCCCCAGGATCTTAGGGCCCCTACCAACCATAAATGCTGCATTTCCACATCATTCCTGGTGCCATCTACAGCCCAAGAACTTCAACTGGATAGGAGATCCAGCAGCCATCAGCCCCTGTTCATTGTCAATGAAGACATCCGGAAGGTGCTATTTTTCCAGGGCGAGAGTCAGGTTCACAAGCCGTAAGTATCCAAAACCAACTTTGGTCATTCTGACATGTAAATTCCCACTAGCAAACATGACAGCAGAGATGTTCCCAAAATATAACCCAGCACCTCCACTAGTGTGGGAATGGGAGAGATAGTGGACCCTGGTAGAAACGGCAGAAGGACAGTCCCAGCAATCATCAATACATAACAGGGCAACAGACCAAGTAAACACACAATCACAAGGCAGAGTGGTAAAGATGCTGAAGGGAAGCCATGGGATGCCATTCCTCTCTGTTGGCAGTTGGGCACCAGTTGGTAAAGAGGTAAGCCAATCTCCTGTGAATACCAACTCAGGGGGACCCATGTTTCCACTGCAGAAGGCCAAGCCAGCAGAAGGCTCGAAGCCATAAACAGAGCTCTGGCAGGATCAGAGTCATCCTCTCTAACCCTAAAGCAGGGCTACCATCTGCATCCAGAAAGAGTGGCAAGTAGCTCATGGATTGACAGCACCTTACCCTCGGAGGTAGACTCTGAACACAGGGCACCCAAGGCCCAGGATGTCTCTGCCCTGCCTCTGCCCCCCTGATGCTGAATACCACTGCACTCCTTGACATCAGCCACCACAAGTAAACGCAAGATGGAAGCCCAGCGCTCAACCTCTCTTGGAGAACCTCCTCAGGTTTCCAAAGGGGCAGAGGGCCTTCAATTTTTGCTAAATGAAGAGACTGCCACCAAAGCTTCGGTTTGTAAAGCCCTGGCCACGAACCCCATTTGCACGAGGCAAAAACACAAAGAAATCAAGAATTCCTCAATACCCTAAGATTATTTTATGATCCGTAAAATAATTTTAAAAAGATGAAGAGGAGCCTGGGTCGGCCGCGTGCTCATCCCCACCCTTCAAACCTTATCCTGGATTTATTGCTAGGTGATGGGTCTGAGCCCGGGGTGCAGCCCGGGACTGGAAGTTATCCTGGCGACAGGGCGCCCCTTTCCCAGAGGAGCCGAGTGCCCATGGCCCGGGGCTGTCGCCCTCAGAGGACCGACGAAGGGCACGCCCTTCTCGCCGCCGCGGCGGAGGCCGGCCGGCCTGGGCAGAGGGGCGGCTCTTGGCACATGAATCCGTCTTTTTATTAAAGTTTATGGCTTTTTGCAGGAGCGTCCTCTACCTCATTCTGGCCCTTGCGTTTCAGGTCGGTCCTCCACACTCACAGCCGGGAAGGGTGAAGCGCGTACAGGTCCAAGCGCAGCTATCCGGCCCTATGCCGGAAGCGGACCAGACGCGCAGCCATCCCTGCTTCCGGCCCGCCTTTCCACTTCCGGCCCCGCCCCCAGGCTTCCGGTGCTGGGGTTGCGGGCGGTCGGGCGGCGGTTATCAACATGGCGGTCGCTCTGAGCCTCTTGCTGGGCGCGCGCGTCCGTGCTGCCGTCGCTCGGTGTGGGTTCGCGACTCGGGGGGTGGCGGACCCCGGCGCTCTAGGCCGCGAGCCGGATCCTGATTCCGACTGGGAGCCGGAGGAGCGGGAGCTGCAGGAGGTGGAGAGGTACCAGCTCCTTCCCGGACCCTCAGCATGAGGGAGGGCTTCGCGCCCCGGCGCTCCAGGCCGCGGCGCCCCCTCGGAGCCGGGCGTCGCGCCGCCGCAGCCCTTGTTTCTCACCCGTTGTGAGAGGGCGCGGAGGCAGCTGTGCGGCTGCCTAGGGACCACAGGTTTCTTCACTAGGGACGTATTTCATCACCTGTTTAGGAAGTTTGGCCTTCTCACGGGCTGTGTTAGGGTTTAGATTCTGGGGAGTGTACGGAGCGGGTGTCAGCCAACACACGTGGCTCGGCGGCCCCTGCGAACAAAGAGAAGAGGGCTGGGCTCCTTTTGATTTAGTCCGAGGCTCTGCAGCAGCTCGTTTTGCCCCCAAGCATGGCTTCTGCCGTTGGTTCTCTCCCCCAGCACCTTGAAACGACAGAAAAAAGCCGCCCGGTTCCAGAAAATTCGGAGGCAGATGGAGGCGCCTGGGGCCCCGCCCAGGACCCTGACGTGGGAAGCGATGGAGCAGATCCGGTAAGACTCAGGGTAGTTTGGATCTGCTGTGATGAGAAGGGGCGGAGACTGGGTCCTAGATTTTTATCATTGAAGGTTTCTAAATGGAAAGTGGAACAGTATAATGAATTTCCGTAAGCTCGTCATCTACATTTAATAGATTTTCAAATGACACAGTCGCTTCGTTTTTGCTGAAATTTTAAAATAGTAAGCTGCAAGACATCACATCATTTAACCCCAATATCGTAGACCGTGAGGTTCTTAAGCTGAGGTCAGGGATGAGGGCTTCCATGGTTATGTACGTTTTTCTGAAGAGAAAATTCATATCTTAAAAATCTTAAAGTGGCCCTTTACAGTTTTATGTTTGTTGTTTTGAATAGACAGTACATATGGTTCAAAATTAGAACCCTGTAATGTGTAACATTAAAACAAAAATTTTTTTAAAGATTTTATTTATGGGATCCCTGGGTGGCGCAGCAGTTTGGCGCCTGCCTTTGGCCCAGGGCGCAATCCTGGAGACCCAGGATCGAATCCCACATCAGGCTCCTGGTGCATGGAGCCTGCTTCTCCCTCTGCCTATGTCTCTGCCTCTCTCTCTCTCTCTCTCTCTCTCTCTCTGTGTGTGTGACTATCATAAATAAATTAAAAAAATAAAAAAGTTGTTAAAAAAAAAGATTTTATTTATTCAGGACACACAGAGAGAAGCAGAGACCTAGGCAGAGGGAGAAGCAGGCTCCCTGCCCAGGAGCCTGATGCAAAACCATCCCAGGACCCCAGAATCATGCCCTGAGCCAGAGGCAGACGATCAATCACTGAGCCACCCAGGCATCCCACACATTGAAAAGTTTTAATCCCAGCCAGTCTCTGTAGGCAAGTATAAGTGAGTAGGAATATATATTTTTATTTTCATCTCCTTAATCAGAAAGAGGATGCTGTAAATACTCTTTTACATTTTTTTCACGTATTTCTTTGTCTTTTTTTTTTTTTAAGATTTTATTTTCAAATAATCTGTAACCCAAAACAAGGCTTGAACTCACAACCCTGAGATCAAGAGTGGGTGTGCTCTACTGACTGAGCCAGTCCCTTTTCCCAAATTTCACAGGTCTTTTCACTTCAGAACACAAAGCTCTTTTTTTGAGAAATCATACCTTTTTTAAAAAATAATCTCTGCCCAATGTGGGGCTCAACACCCAACACAGGACTTGAACTCACAACCCCGAGATCAAGAGTTGCATGCTCTATTGACTAAGCCTGCCAGGCACCGCAGTAAATCATAATTTAGTTAACTAGTCTTTCGTGACGAGTATTTGGGTTGTTTGCACTCACTTGCTGTCACAAATGGTTCTCCAGTGAATAACTACACATCATTCCACATATCTGCTGGATGTATTTGTTGTGGACATTCCCAGAAGTATTGTGGACATTCCCAGAAGTAGAGTTGCTGGGTGCAAGGGCAAATGGATTTGCATTTTGATCACTATTGCTAAGAAACCTTCCAGAAGTTATGTGTCCTTCTCCATTCTCAACAGAATGACTTTGAAGTTGACACATAGAAGAAAGGAGATTCTGTAGTGAGATTTTGTGAGCCTGTAGCATCTCTCGTGTCATCCTTTCCCTTCTTGAGAAACAGCTTTTCCAAATCTTCCTACTGGTCACTTCCCTTTCTGTGGTTAATAAATATCCTTTTACTTCAAAGAAAAAACTGCTAGTTAAGAGCCCTTGAAACCTTCTTGGTCTTCCTCTTTATTTCCCATTCTCAATGTTATACTCTTATTTACAAACTAGGGTGAGCGGTGGCTCTTTACTTGTCTAGAACTGATCCTCTACACTAGGTCGTTGTACCTAATCATCTGAGACCTACAGCTGGCAACTTAAAGTTCTCCGTCTTGTTCCCAGCTGGCTCTCCATGGCTGCTTGTCTTTCTCATTTGTTTTGTCACAACGAGACTGTTGACCTCAAATCTTACCAGTGACTTCCTCACTGCTAGGCATTCCTGGCACTCTTGTCTCTGGCCTCTCTAATATTTCTGCAGCATTTGATCTTGTAGTCTGCTTTCCTGAAATTCTCTTCTCCTTTGATCCAGGGTACTATTCACTTGTATTCTAGGGCTGCCATTTCTCACCTTCCTTCCTGGGCTCCCCTTCCTCCTATATATTAAACACTACTGCTGTTTTTTAGAGTTGTGTCGTTGGTCATTTTATCTCCGCATATTTCACTCCGGTGGGTTCAACCACCTTTGCTCTTCGCTATGACTCCAAATCTGTCATCTCTAGCCCATGTTTGCCTTCTGACTTACATATATTCAACTGTGCACTAGATCATCTCCGTTTGGATGTCACACGTTTTTCAAACTCAGCATAATAAAATAGGAAACTCCGTTTAACAGAAGAAAATCTATCACCGTTCCCTGTTGACTTCATTTTGTTCCTATATACACTCTGTGAATAGTCCCACCAGTCACTCAAACTGAAATCCTGAATCTCCGTTTACTTCTATCTCCAGTATTTAGTCCTTACCAAGTTCTACTTCTAAAACAGTTCTCAGTACTTTTTCTCCTTTCATTGCAACTGCCACAGTTCGGACAGCCTCCTGACCGATCTTTCCATCTTTAGTCTTGCCACTGAAAACTACCCTTGGATTGAGCTTCAAAATGAAAAGCTGCTTGTGGCATTCCACTGTTTAAAATCTTCCTGGACCTTGGTTTGCCATAACTTTCGTGTCCCAAATTGCAGTTCTTCTATTTTTTAATAGACCCACTTAAAAAAAAAAAAGTCCTTCCTTGGTTCACTATTGTTTTGAGATAAACTCCAGACTTGTAAGCATAACATGATCTTGTTCCTGTCTTCACTGTTAGACAGGTTGAGCTATTGCCAATAATGATGATGTGCTGCTTTGCATTTGATGTGCTGCACTATCATCAATACCTCTGATCTCTTCTTGCTCTTCTCCCCTCTGCTGGCTTAGTACTCTTCATCGTTTCAGACTAGCTGTAGGTGGACTTCTGAAGCAATTCCCAAGCCACACTGCAGGTGTTGTGGTATCCTTTTCCTGAGGATATCCTGTGATATCCTTTTTTCTCCCGGGTGCTCTGATAGCATCCTCTGCTAAGACTCACCACAGTGGTGTTACAGACGTTAATGTATCTGTCTCCACCCCCAGGTTGCATGTTCTTTGAAAGGAAGGACAGGGAGATCCCTGGATGGCTCAGTGGTTCAGTGCCTGCTTTTGGAGCCTGCTTCTCCCTCTGCTGTGTCTCTGCTTTTCTCTCTCTGTTGTGTGTCTTATCATGAATGAATAAATAAAACGATCTTTAAAAAAAAAAAAAGGAAGGAAGGACAGTCTTCATGCCTCCCTAGGATCTACCTGGGGCCTGGTGTGCAGTGGGAAGAGTTTAGTTGATGTAAATAAAGTGACTTTTAAGAGTGATTGGGTTGCTTTTGGCACATAGGAATGGAACACAGCCATTTAATGGCACAAGATTTCTGAGGCCTCCTTTTCACATAAATATCACTAGTATTGGCAGTTAACTCATTGATAGACTACTTCACAACTTGAAAACCTGCTCCTTTTTCTCATAGGTATTTACATAAAGAATTTGCAGAGTCCTGGTCAGTTCCTAGGCTAGCTGAAGGCTTTGGTGTCAGCACTGATGTGATCCGAAGGGTTTTAAAAAGCAAGTTTGTACCCACATTGGAGCAGAAATTGAAGCAGGATCAAAAAGTCCTTAAGAAAGCTGGGTTTTCCCATTCACTGCAGCAGCTCCCCGGGCCTGAGGATACCTTGAAGTCGCTATCTGCAAGCCACTCTAGATCAGGCTCTTTGTTGATGCCAAGGAGTGAATCTTCATTCAAAGGCTGGGGTCACAGCAGAGCTTTGACAGTGATAGAATCAAACACTCACAGTAAAAATACACCAAGGAGGCAGAAGGGAGGGAATAAAGGAATCCAGACCCTGGAGGAGGAGTGTTCCGTGGCTGTTCCTGCAGCCCTAAGTCATCAGCGAGAGCTGCAGAAGTACTCTACCAGTGATGGTGTGGGCAAAAGAGGGACTGATGGTTATGGATTGCCAAGTGACAAGCTGGAAGATTTGAAGACTCAGGAGCTGGATAACCAGAACTTCAGCAGCAAAGTAGTCCAAAGGGGGCGAGAGTTCTTCGATAGCAATGGGAACTTCTTGTACAGAATTTGAGCTGGAGCTTGGCTTGTGGAGATGCCAAGTGAAATACCATTGGGAGAATATATTTGGAGCTGCCTGGACTTCTGTGTGTGGAATATCCACTTTGGGATAGGAGGAAATGAGCCTGGAATGTGGGAGAAAAGAGCTGCTCAGATTGGAATCTGACAGAGGGCAGTGCACAGGGCAAATGTGTATGGTAGGGCAGGGCTAATGACCTGCTGGGTAGATTCTAGTGTTCTGGAGCACTGCTCATGTTCTGACTCACATGGATCCTTAGTATTCACCCTTGCTTGGGCTCTCTGTATGTTGAAACTGTATGTTGAAACCAGCCCATGTTGCATGTGTTGTTAGGACTTTCTGTGATACTTGCAATATATGTTTGGGGAAAAAATGAAAAGTTTGCCTTCTGACTTCATTTATTTCTGGATTAATGAACACTAGTAATTCTGGAACTGCTTAGTCGATTGTTTTCATTATGTGTAAAAATAAAATAAAATGTAGCAGTTTGTGTTGATTGGTGCTCTCTGGGGTGGGAGGGTTTATCTGTGAACCTGGAGTGTGAGGGAGGGCAAGAAGCAAAGGGTCCCTTATCCTTAACCACTGGGACAGAGAGATGGGGCCAGAGGAGTTCCCAACCAAGGGCTCTGTGAGTTTACCCTGCTTAGTAATAGATTTTGACAACTAAAAATTGGGACATTAGGCCTTCTCTGATCACCTGGTCTAGAGCAGCTCTTTCCTTCTTCCAGTTGCTGAGGCTTTGAAAGAGATTGGAGGGGCGCCTGGGTGGCTTAGTTGGTTAAGTGTCTGCCTTTGGCTCAGGTCGTGATCCCAAGGTCCTGGAATCAAGCCCCATGCTGGGCTCCCTACTTAGTGGGGAGCCTGCTTCTCCCTCTCCCTCTGCTCCTCCCATTGCTTGTGCTCTCTCGCTCTCTGTCAAATAAAATCTTAAAAGATGGGAGTATGGGGTGTTGACCCCCTCAAAAAAGTCCAAGCAGGCAAAGGCTTTAGGGCCCTCAACATAATCTCTAGCAAGTTTCAAAAGCTTGAGTAGCATCTTGCTTTAAAGTTGTCAGATTTTTGCAAGGGAGCTGTGATGTGGGCAAGAACAGATAATAGGCCTCTTAATTTACTAATTCTTTTAGAGATACTTTATTATAACCAGAAAGTGATCATCAATAGACAAATAGAATGAGATATGCAAGCAACAAAAGAGTCCAATGACAGTTTTCAGTCATGCCTCATTTTTACAAGTCCCTGGCAAAAACTAATTACTGAGAATTTCAATATATGCAGAATATTTAATGAAAATAATTGATTTTCCAAACCTGTAATTCTGTTCATGAATCTCATTGCTATTTCAAATGTCCTTAATAGCAATTGCAATATCATTGATTGCTGTTAACTTGGGCATTTGTTCAGTATAAATGGCAAAGCCCTGTCACATGCCAGTCAAAGTTAAGAAAATCAGGTGCTGGTAACAGTAGTAGGCAGAGAAGGCCCTGTTCTCAATACTCTGTCACTGTTATGACACTCAATATTTTTATAATTTTTAAATTAAAAAAAAATATTAGAGATAGGCAGAGGGAGAAGCAGGCTCCTTGTGGGGAGCCTGATGCGGGACTCTATCCCAGGTCCCTGGGATCACGACCTGAGCCAAAGGCAGATGCTCAACCACTGAGCCACTTGGATGCCCCAATATTTTCATGGTTTAAAAAATACGGTAATTTTCCATTAGAACCTTTTAGTGGTTTTAAGAGGTGGAAAATGGTATTTTGACCAATTTTTAACTCCTGCAAATCATTTGACTATGCCCTTTCCCCAGTGGACTATAGAAAATTAGAAGGTGTTGTTAAAAAAACTTTGATATGTTTTCCATTTACTTTATCCCCTACCATCCTATTGCTCACCAAGCTTAAATCTTTTTCTCCAATCTTGCAAATGCCAATCTAAGGTTTTGCAACCTGCTGGTTCTTTCCCTCCAGATTTTCACATGGCTGGTTTCATGTCATTCAAGTCTCAGATCAAATGTTACTTTCTTGGGATCCCTGGGTGGCGCAGTGGTTTAGCGCCTGCCTTTGGCCCGGGGCACGATCCTGGAGGCCTGGGATCGAATCCCACATCGGGCTCCCAGTGCATGGAGCCTGCTTCTCCATCTGCCTATGTCTCTGCCTCTCTCTCTCTCTATCTGTGTGACTATCATAAATAAATAAAAATTTAAAAAAAAATGTTACTTTCTTAAGCTTTCCCTAATCACCCAGTCTAAAACAAGTCCCTTCACATTTCTATCACCACAGTGTGTCATAGATTACTACTGTATTGTTGCTACACATCTTGCCCCAGTTTTGTGTTCACTGCTGTAGTTTCAGCTCCCAACATAGGTTTTAATATTGGTTGAGTGAGGAAATAGTTGGAGAATCAACCAGTCCAGAATGGCAGAAAGCCCAGCCTTTTACTTTTGCCAGCCTACCCATCCAGACCTCAGCCAACAAGACCTAAGCTTCCTCCAGGTTGACCTGTTACTGCTTTATTTATTTATTTATTTTAAGATTTTTATTTACTTGAGGGCAGCCCCGGTGGCGCAGCGGTTTAGTGCTGCCTGCAGCCCAGGGTGTGATCCTGGGGATCTGGGATCAAGTCCCACATCAGGCTCCTTGCATGGGGCCTGCTTCTCCCTCTGCCTGTGTCTCTGCCTCTCTCTCTCTCTCTCTGTCTCTCATGAATAAATTAAATCTTTAAAAAAAATATTTTTATTTACTTGAGAGAGTGCTTGAGTGAGCTGGAGAAGGGGCAGAGGGAAATAATCTTCAAGCAGACTCCCCCTCAGCACAGACCCCCAACACAGCTCCATCTCCCAACTCGAGATCATGACCTGATCTGAAACCAGGAGTGGGAGTTTTAACCCACTGAGCCACCCAGGCACCTCTACTCCTGCTTTATCCTGTCAGTGTGTCTCAGATCCTAACTTATGAACACTGCAGTGTCTGGGGAGACTGCACCCCCTTAAATCCAGCTCAAGCTGGAAAGGGGTAAAGGGATTCACCCAGCCTGTGTTCCACTGGGTTGGAGTCCTAGGACTGTGATGCCCCATCCCTAGGCAGTCCTGTTTCATGACATGAGGAAAGACATTGACGTCACAACACATGGGGTGAGCTGCACTTTGGGGCATAGGTACAGGGTCTGGTGGAGGGAGCAGCATTTGATACAGCAATGCCAAAACTGGAGATAAGTGGCTGTGGGTGGAATGGGGACCTCCTGGCAACCTTGGGGCCAAGCTCAGGACTAGCAAACTACAAACAAACCCCTTAAGTCCCTATGCCTTGGAGGGTTTATGTGTCACTAACCTGCTCAGGGCAGTTTCCACCTCTCAGCAGCTGAGATTGGATCTAATGGGGAGGTGGTAGAAAAAGCTCAGTAAAGGGGATCCCTGGGTGGCTCAGCGGTTTGGCGCCTGCCTTTGGCACAGGGCGTAATCCTGGAGACCCAGTATCGAGTCCCACATCGGGCTCCCTGCATGGAGCCTGCTTCTCCCTCTGCCTGTGTCTCTGCCTCTCTCTCTCTCTCTCTCTCTCTCTCTGTGTCTCTCATAAATAAATAAAATCTTTTTTAAAAAAAAAAAAAGCTCAGGGATCCCTGGGTGGCGCAGCGGTCTGGCGCCTGCCTTTGGCCCAGGGCGCGATTCTGGAGACCCGGGATCGAATCCCACATCGGGCTCCCGGTGCATGGAGCCTGCTTCTCCCTCTGCCTGTGTCTCTGCCTCTCTCTCTCTCTCTCTCTCTCTCTCTCATGAATAAATAAATAAAATCTTTTTTTTTTTTAAAAAAAAAAGCTCAGTATAAAACACTGGATAAGCTCTTGAAGCCTAGTGTGGGCACAAAAGTTTCTTGTTTGTCTTTTGCTTAATCTTGTATGATAGGATTTTTCAAACATACAGGAAGTTGGGATAATATTGTAATGCAGTGAACCCCTATGGACTCATTACTCAGCTTTAACATTTAATAAATGGCCAATCTTGGGGATCCCTGGGTGGCTCAGCGGTTTGGCGCCTGCCTTCGGCGCAGGGCATAATCCTGGAGACCCGGTATTCAGTCCCACATCGGGCTCCCTGCATGGAGCCTGCTTCTCCCTCTGCCTGTGTCTCTGCCTCTCTCTCTCTCATGAATAAATAAAATTTTTAAAAAAAGAGGCCAATCTTTTTCCATTATTTTGCATACTTGCCCCACAGCTCATCCTAGCTTATTTTAATCGAATCCTATATACCTCATATTATTTCATCTGTAAATACTTCAGTATGTATCTGAAAGAGATAAAGACTCCGTTTTTTAAAAAGTTTATTAATATTTTTAGTAATCTCCACAGAATGTGGGGCTCGAACCGAGCTAGTTAGGAGACCAGAGACCAAGAATCCCATGCTCTTCTGACTGAGCCAGCCAGGCACCCTGAACCACTTTAAAGTTGTATTTATTTATTTTTTAGAGAGAGCAGACGGAGAGAGACTCCATGCTGAATACAGAGCCTGACATGGGGCTAGATTGATGACCCCAAGAACACAATCTAAGCCAGAAATCAAGAGGCAGATAATTAACAGACTGAGCCACCCCAGTGCCCCCTCAACTCCTTTTTAACACAGACACACAAGCCATTACTGTACCTTAAAAGTTTTAGTAATATCAGCTAATACCCTGACCATATTCTCTTTGTATTTCATAAATTACTTTTATAGTTGATTTCTTGGAATTAGGATCCCAACAAGGTCCAAACCTTTGCAACACTGCATGATGTGGCTATGTCCCAGAAGTATCTTGTATAGTAATTTCCCTTTCCATTTTATTCTATTTTACAGGTTATTTGACCCATTTATTTCCTATATTAAAAAGAAATGTATTAATTGATAGCATGACCTGGTGGAGTGGCAGAGAGAGATGGAGAAAGAATCTTAAGCTGATTCCATGCTGAGCTGGGAGCAGAGCCATAGACGGGGCTGGATCCTACTTCCCTGTGATCATGACCTGAGCAGAAGAAATGAAGTCAGATGCTAACAGGCTGAGCCACCCAGGCGCCCCTATCTCCTATATTTTGGATATATTAGGTTTCAATTCCTACAATGTTTATTGTCATGTTTCTACTACCCTCCATATTTCCTATCAACTGGTATTTACATCTTGAGACTTGATCAGGTTCAATTTTTGGCAATTAGTGAAGCTTTGTACTTCCTATGCATCTCACAAGGAAATGATGATCTGATATTACGAATTAGCGAGTTCAGGTATTGTCAGCAAATCTAGGAGTTAAAATGGCTTCTTTTTCTTCTTTTTTTTTTTTTTTTAACAAGGTGAATCCAGATTATTACCATCACCCCTGAAAATTCCCTAATTTCTCTTCCCAGTCAATTCTTACCCCAAAGTCAATCACTTTTCTGAAATTGTTTTCACCATTTAGTTTTTCTATTTCTATTTCTATTTCTATTCTAGAACCGAATAGAAATGGCATCATATAGGTGCCACTCCTA